TTTAAAAATATTTTTTTGACATTTATTTTTGTCAAATTAGTTTATATTTTATCAAATTGACGATTTTGCCCTTGAAATTAAGCAAGGGTTTGTTTAATTGTCCTTATTTGAAGCAATATTCAAAATTCATGGTCAAATGTGTCACAATTGAAAAGTCAAGGACTAAAGTGACACGAGCTCCAAATTATAAGGACTATGAGTATAATTTGCCCTATCTTTTTTTAATCATTGGATATTCGGATCATTTTATGTGCATCATTAATTCGGAAATTTACATAAAGTGCCCTTTCTACGTTAATCAGACCAATCTTGGGCAGAATCGCGGGCGTGGCCCCAAGGAGCAGATTACTCCTAATGGGAATTGAACATGAGAAGCACACCCTTAGACCCTAAGTTATACTTGAATATACTCTTTTTAAGAACGGATAATATTAAGCTCTAAATTTTTATTAATCAAACATAAATTGAATAAGGAAAATGTTTGGGACTATTTTTGGGGATGACCCCACGCTTCCAAAGTGATCATGGCCCTCTATGTATGTGTGGGACCCACTCATGTATGTGTGGGGTCTACATTATGAGTGGTTCAAATTTGTGGGGATCTTGTGAGGGTCTTATGGGGTGGGGTCTCAACCATTACTCATTAAATAATCCGTTTATAACCTTATTTAGGTGGCGTTTGGCAAGTGATTTTGTGGCTAAAATAATCACAAAAGATAAAATAGACTATTTTAGTTATAATAAATAAAACATCATACTAACCTATAATCATTACAATCTTCTCTCACAAAAAAAGTCAAAAAAGCCAAAAAGACCTTCCCAAACCAGGCTAAAATAGCCCAAGCTAAAATAGCCAAAAAGCCAAAAAGCCAAAAAGCCAACTCACTTCCCAAACGGAGGCTTAGTGTGTTTGGTTTTAATTTTTTGAAAATTGAGTTTTTTTATTTTTTATTTTTAGTCAATATTTTTAAAATTTTATGCAATTTTTTTTTAGATACACCTTACTTAGATATATCAAAATAATAAAATATTTGTGAAAAAATATGTTAAAAAATTACTAAATACACAAAAATATGAAAAATATACTGAATTTTCGTAATTTTTTTTTTATACTTTTAATATTTAGTGAATTTTTTATAAAAAATTTTTTACAAATATTATACTTTTTAAATATATATATGTGAATTGTATCTAAATATTTAAAAAACTACTTAAAATAGTAAAAAAAATAAGTGAATAAAAAAATACGAAAAACGAAAGGTACAAATTTTTTGAAAAGTAAATTTAAAAAATAGAAACTAAACAAAGTGATTGATTTTGTTTTTGGGTTTTTCTGGTATGAGGAAATAGAAAAATCCAAACTTGCAAGGGGTCAGAGTACCGTGCAATGGGTTTGTGGGCCCCAAATTTGGATTGATTGTGAGCAAGAAAATTAGGTAGGACTTCGGCATCTCACTAAAAAGTGCTATCCAGGGTGGCACATACCTACTGAATATAACATGGATGAATTGAGTTGAGTAGTACTACTCATGATTCACGAGTCATGATGACCTTCGTTTCAATCAGATATATGAGTTGCTGCTGTCCGTTGAGAATTTTTAACGAGTTTTTTGCCCACAAATCCTACGGCACTGTGTCTTGCAATAAGGACCACAAGTATTTTGTCAGTTTTTAAACTCCCTTAATGTACGATTCTCCTTGACACCAAATTAATAATTCAAGGACTATAATCAATTATTGAGGGAAAAAGATAAATAATTAATATTATTTACATTCTCAATATGTCGCAACACATGTATTTTAATTATCAAATAGGTAATAAAGTTAGAATACATAATTTATTGTCTGCTTTGATTGTATGTTTGAAATCAAAACATTCACACACAAGTGAAGAGCAAGCAATTTAACATGTGAACATGAACGAGCACTCGTATATTAGTACAAGTAAAACTGCCAATTAAGGAGATAATTATGCAGAATCAGAGAGATTACTGTGGATCAAGATTACAATCAACATCCCACGACTTTAGAACCATGTTAACATTCAAATCTTATTCCTTCTCACCAACATAATCCAATTACCAAAAGGCATTAGAATTACCTCCTTGGATTGAATTTAATTTATACTCCCAGTGGAACGTCAAAACCAGTCGGCAATCTGCACAACATGGTCACCATCTTCTTTTGAAAATTAACCACCCCCCATGAAGCCGAGGTTAGATTTCTGCTGACAGTGATTACCGATCCGAATGTGTTCATATTTCAACCATTTGCATGCCTAATTCTAAAATAACCCTAGAATGTATATTTGTCCGGAGGTGCTTCTTCCGGAATCTGAAAGTAGAAAAAAAAATAAACAAGTAATGCATAATGTACGAGTTTCCAAAGCATTAATAGTAATGATTCGAAATGGATCTTGAATAAAACAATGTGCAAACACTTATTATTGCCATGAAGGTCTTTAACTTTCGATTGGATCCATGGGAAAAACTCAAAAAAAGAACTTTTGAAAAATAATAATAATAATAATAATGCGAAAGGAAAATTAAGCATGAACACTAAATATAAATGTCAAATGAACAGTCTTTTACCTCTCCAGGATTCCATTCCTCTTTCAACCAGATGGCATCATCCACTGCACCATTCTTCCTTGTCATATTATCACTGCAGGATGGGAAAATAACCAAAGGTAATAACAAGCATATAATAAGTTGTTCACAGTTTAGAAGAAAAAAATCCTACAAATTATAGATCAGATCTAGGATCGTATCCAAAGAACACTAATACAAAAAATGACAAGGCTAGAGACACCAGAATAAAAAATACAGAATCAAGGCTGTAAGAAATAAATCAATGGTGCTTGATTATGACGGGATCTGATCCTAAATGAATCTAAATGGTGAAAAACTAACTCGAGGCTGACCAACCAGTGTAATTTGGGATCCCCAAGTTTTCCCATAGAAAGGGTTCACATCATCTTTTATCATAAAATACAAAAAGATATAACATGCTGCTTTTCATGATCTTAGACTACATGAGCAAAAGGTAGGTTTACATCAATTAAGCTTTATGATGGGATCATTTTCAGCCACATCAAAATTTTGAACCCAATTTAAGGTTGGGTCCAGGATGATAATAGTTAGTAAAACAATTTTAATATAAATGGATCTTTAAGTCAGTAAAGCCAAACCCACATAGAGGGAACTAGGGATTGCTGGCTTTCTTCTGGTTTAGTTCTTTAATAGAATACGGATTTTAATTGTTAATATATGTACTTCCAATCCAAAATTTCATAACTGATTTTTTTTTTTTTTTTGGTTGAGAAAAAAAAATCCAAGAACTTACATTGTGTCCACATTCACAGATAATTGTTCAACTGCAGTAGAGGCAGAGTTTGGCCCATTCGGAAGTATGGATGACTGGAAACTTGCTGAACTTGGAACTTGTGGTGACACTGCCGAAGTAAAAAATGGGTTTCGTTCAGCACTAACGCCACTGTTGCTGAAGCTTGCAGCGTTGGAGGCAAAGGAACTTCCAAATGACTGGTTACGAAGTTGACCGCCAAATGAACCTACCACATGACTGCCTTATAGACAGCGCACAAACATAAAGCATTCTAGTGTGTAACATTATAAGCTTCAAGTCTTACCTGAACTTCCAAATGGCGAGTTGTTGGTTTCAAATACACTAGTAGTCTGACTGGAAATTTGAGTGGAACCAAAAGCATTATTTGTAGGAGTAGCAGGCCTGAAAAATTAACCCAACTAAGTTAACAAAATCAAAGGGTAGACTTTGAAACAAGAGTTTGAATAACCCTTGCAACAACATAAGAACACTAAAGCTGCCCTATAAATCAACAGATTCCATCATTAGCAAGAAGATAGCTAAATATAAATTCAGATGTCGGGAGAAAATCTTGCCTCATTCCAAACCCCATATTAAGTGATGCACCGAGTTGACTGAAACTTGAAACTGAAGGAGGGTTGCTATTTTGAGCAGTCATTGAAGAGACACTTGGAGTGGCCCCAGGAAAAGCACTTTGGGTAGCAATAGAAGGATTTTGTGGAACTGCATAAGGATTACGGAGTAGGTTTTCGAATTCAAGCAACTTAGCATTGAGTAAATTCCTTTCTCTCTCAACCTGTAGCAAGACGAGATCGATGATTGGTCAATGAAGAAAGCTATCTATCCAGTAGCTTATTCATCAAAATGAACTCACACATCATTGATGCATCTAACGAGTATATAACATTATGAAAAAATAGCTGCAGGAAATTTTAAACAAAAACTAGCACTTTTTATGATGGCCAATACTCTTTTAAAGGCTAAGTGGGTCTAATACCATTTTTAAAAGGTTAAACCACCAAATCTTACTACTAACACTGCCACTGGCTGTTAGCATGAGTGGTATATCCACCCATTCCTAAAGGGGGAGGTGCAAGCACACAAGATTGTGTGTCTAGGTATCTACTTTGGTGTAGACACAAGACCAGAACTTCAAAATTAAAGCTCCAAATTTTCAAATTTCATTTGCATATGAAACTTGGTATCTACTTTGATGTAGCAGCAAGTAATGAATTTTGGAATGCAACATAAGGTCCATTTTGAAGATTGCGCCAAATATAATGTTAACGGTAAGTAACCTGTAATTTATGAAGTATAGTAGTGTCAAATGTGGCATTTCTTATATTCTTACAATTGACTGCAAGCTCAATCCACGCTTAGCATCATCATATGCTGCTGCTCTCAACTCTTCGTAGCTAACATCACCAATGATGTCACATGGAGAACTGCAAACAAAGTAATTTGATAGTTATGCCGATTGTTGTGCTGATGATGACAATAAAGGAGCAGAATACAGTAGACTTGAAAAATGTTTAAGGCGCATCCCTTCCAATAAGACGTTTCTTAATAGGTGTTCCGCATCACCTTCACTTCCCCAAAAAAAGGAAAAAAATACTGTCCCCAAGTACGATTTTGTCACGACCCCAAACCGCCCCTAGTAGTTTGGTGTCGTGATGGCCAGTAATCCGTAATTACCGAAGGCCAACTTTCAAAAACTCAACACAATCAGAGTATAATAAACGAGGCTCACAAATGCGGAAGCAATAATCAAAAATACCAGTGGTCCTTAAGAGCTGTGCATAGATCAAATGCAATGTCATTCATCTTACAACTTGAATACAAAAAAGCAAAATACGTATTAACATTTGACAAAAAAGGCTTCTTGAGGCCGACATTATACAAAACGGCAATTACAAGCCAAGAAGGCCCAGATTTTTCAGATTCGCCGACCATGAAATACAAAACAAGCGACATGATCATCGAATCCAAATAAGCTTTCAAAACAGTCTAGGCGTCGCCGACAGTCTGCTCATCACCTACTATATATATATAGGAGGAGGGTGAGCTTGGATAGCTCAGTGAATGGTACTAAATAATAAAGGTTTGCAGTGAATATAGGCCGGGTCTTTCAAAACAAACCGCATCAACTGTTATCAAAGACAAGGGATGAACCGTATTCATCATCAATCTTCACAAGTCTCGAGCTTTCCGAAGCAAACAAAGGATGAACGTATCATCTGTCAAGGTCATACAAGTCTCAGGTGCTTACTGACATCGGCAAACATCAAAGCATCAATCAAAACAAGGGCTGTATCGATCGTAATCTGTTTAATCAAAGGTACTGGCGAAAGTTTATAGTCTCGGTCCAAGGGACTTGTGTTACTTAGGCCCGTAGCCCGATTTAACATTATAGTCTTTCCAAGAAAGGATCGTATCCTTTTATATCTAGTGCTGCGAAAGTTTAGAGTCCTCCAGCACGAGGGACTTTTGTACTTGGTACTGCGAAAGTTTAGAGTCCTCCAGTACAAGGGACGTTTCAAGGATGACATCAAAACAAGGCTTACTGGATACATCAAAATAGGGCTATTCATTCATGTTTAGCAAATACTTTCGTCAAAACAAAACAAAGCAAGATTTATCAAAACAAGTGTAACATAGCTTTACTAGAAATACCACTCACATAGTTTTCCACGGGTGTAGGCTCAAAGCAAATATCAAGGACCTACAATCACATGGCAAATCACATTCTCAAAACAAGCTTTATATGCATGCAAATGATCTCGGCATCCTTACCAGATTCAAGTCAACAACAAAGCAAAACATGCTGGGAGTTTAAACACTGCTCCCGTCTCATGAAAACACACTGGGTATCAACCAGGTCTTTGTCGAGGTCCCACACATCCTTGCCGAGGTGTGGTCCCGCTGGCCTTATACAAAAGCAAAGTCGGGAAAACCTGGGTTTTCACTTTGAAGAACATGCAGATCATGATGAACATGATCCTGAGAAAGATGAATGCAAGATCAAAACTTGTTACAAAGATCTGAGGTTTCATGCCAAGAGTTCAAAACATGGACCTGGGTACCCACACAAGAAAGTCATGCAAGAACAACACAAAAACATGGCTTTAGTTCCAAACTTTCTGTTAAAATCCACCTACTCTCCACCTACTTCACCCACTTAAACCTACTCCACTAAACCTAACCCACTACACCACTACCACCTCACCTACTCCACTAAACCTAACCCACTACACCACTACCACCTCCACTTCACCTACTCCTTACCTACTACACACTCACCCTCTTCTATATATAGGAATCATGAATCATTGTAATAGACATCAATATAAATCAATCAATAATACAATTCTCTATTTCTCTTTATACATTAAATTTCTACACTTTCGGATCAAAACGAGACTTTTCTTCAAGAATACACGAAACCCATTTTCCTTTTTCAAAACCAACTTCAAATCGATGCATGACATGCCAAAACAAATCCGATCATGCAATGCAGCTTGATGATCAATAACAGCAGTCAAAGTAGATCAAGATTCTAACCTCAGAACTCGAATCCAACGGATCAAACCACGAAGATCAAGCTTGGAAGACTAGCTCTCACTCAAGAACTTCTCCTCCTTCTCTCTAGAGCTTCTCTCTCTAAAACAAAGATTTGAGACCAAAATGATTTGTTTCTAAGTCTGCCAGCTGTCTTAACAACTAGCTCGGACACGTGGCGCTACCGGGTTGGCTCAACTCGAAAAGGTGATTGATAGATAAGACAAGTCTCTGACAAAGCGTATGCAGCAAGCTCGGTAGAACACATCGGCAATAAATGACATCGGCTCAAAATCAAGGATCCGGCAACAGGGTAACAAAGACATCGGCTAGGGAGGTCGACACTTGACTAAGCTGTGCCACCTTGTGAGTTGAAATCATCCACACCACAATAAGTATGGCGGCAGCGGTGGCAAAGTAAAAAATCTGCAAATTCATAACCGGTTGATCCTATGGCAATAGAGTGTTGTGGGCTTTGATACCAAATTGATGAGCAGAGGAATACAGGGGAGGAGAAAAAGAAATGCAACAGGACAAGAATATGAAGGAGGAGAGAGAGTTGCAGAGAGAGGGAGATGAAATGATATTCTGAAATTCTACAAATAACCAAGTCTGGAATCCAGTAAATCAAACCTATTATTGACGGGGCAAACCCGGAAAGGAAATAAATCTCTATCAAATTATGCCTAGAAATAGGGAAATTACAAAATTAAAGCCCTAAATTAATCAACAATTTATTTTGAAATTCAGCATTTCGTTTACGTCTAGAAACATTTATAACTCCCTGATCATGATTCCCACCACCACTTCTTATCTATCATTTGTTGGCCATCCTACATTTGTGACATGATTGCAACTTTGGTATGTTTTTTTGCACAGCTGCTCATTTTCATTTGGATATTGTGGTTGTTGATCTGGCTTGCTTGAATAGCTGCTGTTTGGTTCTGAACCTTACACTAAATTCCTTTCTATGTTCTGTGTTTGAAGTGCATCCTTGTGACATTGTGTTTTAGTTTTCATTCCTCTTCTCCCAATTTATCGCTTTAGTGTTTCGTGGGAATTGTTTTTGTGCATGCATTATTGATGTGACATCTTTGGAAAAAAAACTGAGTGTATGCCCGAGTAAAATATAGCTTTGCAAAGATTTGACTATCACTTGCCTAATTCTGCCTAGGTACCTCTCAACACCAAAACTGAGGCTCCCAAGCCTTCTCTTACTCCTGAAGAAACAAAGATGAAAGCACAGGAACTAAAGTAATGCTTATTTTGCCCTTGTTATCTGTGCTCTTTAATGACCTTGAGATGCAAACTTATTCCGAAGCTTCATTCCATGATGTCTTAAACATTTTCCATGCGAAATTCTAAATTGTCTCATTTTCTTGTTGGTATGGTTTGCATCATGGGGTTAGGTAAAAGTCTACTTGTAATAACTAATAAGATTGATTTAACGTTAATGATGTATTGGTTGGGTTCTCATTGGCTTTCTTTAGCAGCTATGGATACTTGGTTGTCTCCACGGAGAAACATTTCCTGAAATTTCTTCATTTATGTCTTTAGAGCCAGAAACTTTTTCTGCCTTTTTTTTTTTCCCACCCCCTTTAGGGCCAAAAACTTAATTCTAGACAAAAATTTAAACTTGGGTACATACATGAGACCATTTTTAAAAAAAAATAAAAAATAAATTTACTATGATTGTCCTTTTTACTATTGCTTCTGTTTCTAATGTTATTAATCTTTTCAATGCTTAAGGGAGCAAGCTCGCAAGAAGAAAGAAGAGGAAGAGAAGCGAATGGAAAGAGAGAGGGAGAAGGTGATTCTTAATTTACTAGAGGATATGCCTTCTTGTCATATTGACTTTGTATTTTGTAGTACTATTTTTCAGCTATGAACTTATTGTGTCATATTATTATTGTTTTGTGTTACCAGAAAACGCTGATACCCTAGTGAATTATGTATTGCTACACACATTCCGAAACATGGTACTCTTCCGTTCCAAAATGGTAAATTTAGTAATCCAAAGTGATCCCAATTTTTTTTTCCAATATATTTCCTTAAATGTTACCTTAGGAGAAATAAAAATTAAATATAATGAACTAAAATCTAAGGCGACTTAAGTTTTGACAAGACAAAAACATAAAAAATGGAAACATATATGTATATATATATTTTAGATGCCTAATAGTTAAAAGAAAGTTACTCAAGAAATACCTTAAATTCTTAAAGTGTAATACATACAAGTCTACCCCTATCGTACCACATTTTAAAACATGTTTCATTCCACGTTCCAGGTAACATAGTTTCGGATTGGTTAAATAATAAAGAAATTGGAGTTAAAGTGAATTTTGTATGACTGAAGATATTATTACTGTGTATTTTTTGTGATTAAATGATATTCTAGAAAATGTTTCATCTGTTAAAGATAATTAATAACATCTGTATCTAATGTATACTGTGTTGTTTGCATTTATTATCATTCCATAGTTAAGAGATGTGTCTATTACAAAGCTTTCATTTTTTGTGTAAAATAAACTTTTGTGAATCTTCTTTTTCCCTTGTAGATTTTATAGGAGAATTCTTGTCAGTTCATATAAGGTTCACCCCTTTTGGCGGTTTCTTTAATATGATTTTCTTTACTTATCAAATATATATATTTCTCAAAGCATCTGCTTTGAAGCTTGTGAACTTTTTTTAGCATCAGGACCCTACCAACAACCCCCCTCTCTTACTTTCGAACAAGAATAGATTTTAAGATTGTATATTGTTGTTGAAAGATTAATTTGAAAGAGAGGCTAGAGAGCAAAAGAGTGTTTCTGTATATGTGTGTTATGTTTTACAAGAGAAATAAACTCTCTCTTTATAGAGAGAGGCAATGTACATTGGATGCCAATCCATTACCACCGAAAGCAGAAAGAAGCCAGCTATACAATTAGCAAGAAAGCTAGACAGCTATACAACAATTAACAAATTAACAATATTATATTAACAGTTGTTTTGGAAATTGTTCAGACTTCAAACAAACATAGAAATAATACTTCTGTAAACTGTTGGGAGTTCGTTATCTATGGAGACAGTGGCTACGATTTATTTTTTGTTTGATGTTTGCTTCTTTGTTTGCCCATATTTGTTTTCCTCCATACTACAAATTCAGTGTTAACGATGTATTTTACTTTTATTTGTGTGATGGTCCAAGATCATTATGTATTGGAAAGCTCTTCTTAGGTCAATTTCTATTTTCAAGTCTCTTTCATATCAATGATCTAGATATATGATGCATGATCCTGAATTTCTGATTTTCTATCTGGCCACTGTAATTCCATTCTCTTATGTTTTTTTAATCATGGTTTTCTTTTTTCTCTTTAGGAGAGGATTCGAGTGGGCAAAGAACTTCTTGATGCGAAGCGCATTGAGGAAGAAAATGAAAGAAAATGGTGGGGTTTATTCATAACATTTGTTTCTTCTGTTTTTGGTGCTACACGGTTATTTTATCTCATTGTATTACAAAACAATGTGTTCTGCTTTCACAGTGTGGTGGCCTCGTGGAAAGCTGAGAAAGAGGAAGAGAAAAGAGCTAGGGAGAAAATTCGACAAAAATTGGAAGAGGATAAGGTCCTGATAGTGTCTTGTTGTTCTGTTTTATATGCTAATACAAATACTCAAAATTAGCATGGTGGATTGATAATTCATTATTTACAGTAGAGCACTTTATTTGTGATTCAACTTAGATTTTATCGAGGGGTCTGACGGTGAAAATCTTAAAAAGTATATTTCAACCAATATATGGAAGGAAAGGATATGTGCTGAGAATTGCTCAGACATGTAAGAAGATTTAGTTTGAAACGTCTAGTAACCAGAAAACGAACAATAATAGAAAACAATCACCATGTGTGAAGTCAATGTTTGGCTATGGTTGTAAAATAAAGTGTTTCCACCATGAGAGCTATATGTGAGAATTAGGCTAGCAAGCCATGGACCAAACATTGATGAAATAAGGAATATGGTGAAAGTTGGAACATTTGGACAGGCACATATGGGAGGGAGAACCTTCTGAGTAGGCTAATGAAGGTAGAAAGGAAGAGGGAGTGAGTGGAAATCGTCAAGCGGTGCCTTGCATTCTTCCAAGTCTTCCTTTGTTTAAGGCATGAAACAAATGGTTGTATCAGGAACAAGATATCCCTTTGTAATTTCTTGAAGCTACTTGTGTGGAATATCATCACCCCATGTGAGGGGTGATCCTCCATGTGCT